AATCTTATCATCATTCTGAAGAGTGACATTATGTTCGATAAGGAGAGAAAGAGAGAGACAAGGACTTACACAAAATTCTATGTACCCACACATATGCAGTTGTCAATGAAGAATTATAGGAAAACAGCTAAATTTATTAAAAAGTTCCATTTTCATACAAAAGTTTGGTCCCAAAGTTGCCTCGCATACATTTTTAAAATCATTTCTGGTAGTGGCGTTGGTCACGCAACATGTAGATGTAGATGGGGGAACATAAGCAAGTTTCTGCAATGAAATATTGGCAACTTTAAGACTGGACTTTTAAGTTCTGCGAGCAAGGAAGCAGCTAAGAGGTATTTTTGCAATTATAAGAAGCTATATGGAGCTAATGCAGTCAAAATATGAATTTTGTCATATAGCATTTTCACAAATAGATTTTGTTACATGGGTACGTCACTCCCATATACTCGACAGTTACATATCCAACCGTGATCACTTGATTAAAAATTTTCACCCCCTCTTCAAAGTGTCTTGATCCTTTAATCCCATCACTATTCCTGCTTGATCACTTGATTTCCTTAATGATTATGGGTGTGCTTAAAATACATGGAACGACACATCTATCTAATAATTAAAGCAAGCCTACGATGTCTTTCTCTCGATCCTTTGTCTGCACCCTAGTTACTTTTGATGCCAAAATCATGGGCGTGATGCTTGATCCTGCTAATACAATGAAATTAGACATGCTGCAAGTTAAAATTGCTAGAGTAAGGAGTTTCTATGATGAAAATGCCATTGTAGTTAAGAGTAGTGATGATAACACCTTGGGTCATTTTGACCGTTTGACAGCTATTGCATTAGTGCAGATAATGAATTTGAGTGAAAATCTTGTGTATTTTATACATCTGATTTTATGGTAATTAATTTTAGTATATGTGCAGGTGATAAGATTAATACTGGAGGAATTAGTCGTAGTTACAAAGAGATACATGTATTGAGATGTTTGCAATTACATCTGGCAATACTTTCATAGATTACAATGGCATCAGTTGAGCCCTGTAGATCTTGATTAAGTTGTTTTAACCAAGTTACCTCTTGTGCTGCACTAGCAAGTGCCAAAAACTCAGCTTCTGCTGTGGAAAGGGCCACACGGGACTGTTTCTTGAGTCTGCATGTTGACCAGACCTCTTTGACTTCCACTTTTTATCGGGCTTAAATGACAGCTATGAGGATCTCAATTTAGAATGCTCAGACGATGACAATCTGGACTCAAATGATAATTTAGTCCTTTCAAGACAATTTCTCTGACTATGACCCAGCTTCTGACAATTGTAGCATTTCAGTCCTCTTGATCATGATCTGTTGTACACTCCATCACTCTGTGACTCATCTTGTTCTTTATGCTTCCTCTCTTTATGAAGCAGTTTCTCAATACCTACATCCATCTCTGAAACTATAGCGCTTGCCTCTAACGCTGTCACTAAGGTAGTGTAAGAATGTGGCAAGCTAGCAAGTAGAAAGAAAACTTCGTCATTATCGTCGATAGCATCACTGACAACTGAGAGCTCATGAAAGGTCTCCATCACCATTTCAATATGCTCTTGTACTGACTCACTATTGTTTAGCTTCAGCAAGTGTAGCTTCCTTCTCAGATTTAGTTGATTGACCCAGGACTTCTTCTGAAACTGTTCCTTTAGCTTGTTCCACACTATGACTGGATCATCAGGATCTGCACCAACAAGATACAGAAACGATGGATCTACTGAGGGAACTATAGTAGCTAATGCTTTGTACTTCCTTGCTGCATAGCATTCTCGCTCCTTCTCTCCAGCAGTACGAGTAGGTGCTGCTTCCGTTCCATCCACTATATTCCACACTCCTTCTTTCTTGAGTGTCATAGCACACTGTACCTTCCATGTCGCAGAGTTGCACCCTCCTTTAAGAGAACAATGGATACTGCCTGTTTCATTGACTCTGCCATCATTGCAACGTGTCTGGGCTCATAACCTGTTAAACTTCTAGACAATTAGGCAGAGGTATAGTACCAGTAAATATTCCTAGTTAAAAAACTACAATTAGGCAGAGTGTGGGACAAATGAACAAACACAAGTTATATAGTACAACATAGATTAATAAATTGTTCACACTACACATATGTACAATCAAAAGTTCACACTTTATTACATAATAGTCAGACTGTAAGAGTGCAAAATCTTAAACACTGAGTCCATCAAGCATAGATTGAACAACGTATTTGAAAACTCTTAAGATTACTTTTGTCTCAGCTGATGCTGTAATTTTACAAGAACACACAGGTTTTATCCTACTAATAATAATAATATTTGACTAATATGTAAAACTTCTTCCTCTGAAATACAAATTACTTGGCAAAATTACCCAAAAATCTAACTCATGGAGATCATGTGCTTCAGTTAGACGCTCATTCCCCTGAAGAGTGCCAGCAGCAAATATTCCTCTATCTTTACTTGGGACTTCCTGTTATGGTTGCAATGCTCTTACAAATTGTGACTATCCAGCAAAATTAATTGGTTGTTCAATCATTGCACTAACATCTAAAAGAATATTGGCCAATGCTTGTGTTGCATCAGAGTCAGTTGATGACCCTCCACTACCATTTGCTATTGTTTCGGCCTCTGCCTCATGTAATGACCCCAGTTTGAGCTGGATTAATTGCTGAAATATACTTTTATCTATTGATAAGTTGGTAGTGTGATTTTTAGATTTGGCTAGCTATATACACTTTCACTGTTTTCCATTATTTCTTCACTTTCCCACTTATTCTTATTTTTTAGAAAAGCTGCCATTTTGGGAGCAAGTTTTTCCATTAGATCCTTCAAATCCTTGTCACCTTTTATGCCAGCTTCCTTAAGTTGAGCTTGAAAGTCCTGATATGAGCTACAAATAGATGAAATACTGAGATTTTTCTAGTTGCTGTTTAGCAAATGTTCTCCTTTTCTTTCTAGATGAAACAATGGAATGCCCTTTAACTTGCTTTAGTTTATGCTCAACAGTGTAACATCTTATTCATTTTTGCCAAAAATTCTCTAAAACTAAGGTTTAGAGATGTAATGGGAAGAGAGCAAGTGCCACCTCTAAATGTCCCATGAATAGCTTCAAGTCTTCGGTTTCCTGTATTGCGTAGTGAGCACTTACTGAAACTTAGGTTTGGAAAACTTAAGTAAAGACTAGAAAGTGGTTAATAGCAGCATAAACCAGCAATTCCATTGTCACATAATGAATTCGACTAATGAAGTGAGTTTGCGAAATTAAGCGAGGGAGAAAGAATTATGGTTTGACTCCATCTTCTGAAAGTCATTAATCCGGCCCATAAACTTTGGGTGGTTTCATGTGGTGTTCCGAAGTTATTCTTATGATAAGGAGCATGAATCCAAACTTGCACTTGTAAGTACATTTGTGTTCCTTCTGATCCTGGAACATACAGGTGCAATTCATTTACCACCTTTTGGCTCAGCACTCTACCAGCAGCATCACAGTTTTGGCGACTTAAAGGGAGAAAAGTCCCTATGTCTAATGGATGCTCCAGGATAAATAGCCTTTAATTGCTTTAGATAAAGGACAGATGCTATCTTGGCTGTTGTGGTCCCACTCTCATGGGCAAGGGGTTCTGCTGTGACATGACCATTAAGTAAATTTCTAACAGCTGTACGTCATGAGTGATTCCAACATGAATATGCAATAGATGGATATGCTTGGCGTAATATAGGTGCAAAGCAACAAAACCTGTGTATTGGTAAACCAATGTACTTGACACCCATTTTTTGTATAATTTTTTGGCACTGCCAGCATTTCCAAAGGAGCCAAGGAATTGGTTGCTGAGTCAGTACAATGCCGTATTAAAGCTAGCCTTCTGCTTTCTCTTCAACAGCCATCATTGGGGCAAAAATGTGAGAACCAGTGACACCTTTAGTTGCTTCTGGTATACTACCCAATAACATATCAGGTTTGTCAACAGTCAGATCGACTAGATCAAATGTATATGCTTCTGTAGCAAGGCCAC